CTGAGTTTAATCCCCAGTACAAAAAAATGAAAAGGTCATAACCAGAAGAGACAACTCAGGGTAGAAATGTTGGCCTGGAGATCAAGGGTCCTGATGCAAAGCTCTAGCCAGAGCCCAGAACCGCATCTCTATCTCAGGGTAACCACATGGGCTGGGTGTGGTAGTCACGTGTCTGTAACCAGTCCCATCTACTCAGGAGGTGGAAGCAACTGAATCATGAGTTCAAGGCCAACCTGGGCAAAGCTGGGGAGGCTCCATTTCAAAACAAAGTGGAGACAAAAAGGTTGGTGTGCTGGTGTGTACCTGTGATACCAGCTATACAGGAGGCCATAGGTGGGAGAATCATGGGCCCGGCTGGTCCTGGGCAAAAGCTTGAGACCTTACCTAAAACCACTAAAGCAAAAAGTGCAAGGGCTAGGGGGCATGGCTTAAGTGGCAGAGCACCTGCCTAGCAAGTGCGAGGCTGAGTCAGACCCCAGTACTGCCAAAAACAAAAAAAAGAGGCAGCCGCTTGTACCTTGAAACTGAAAAAACGGTTTTCCTGGCTGTGTAGAGAAACCTAGTAGCAGCTGGTGGCGGGAAGGGAGGGGGGCGGTACTGACGCTCACGGGCACTGACACGGACCACACACAGCTGTACACCCACTCAGCCCTGACCCATTATATATGAAGGAAGCTCTGTCTTCTTGTGCCTCGTCCTCTGGAAGGTCTTCTTGAGACATTGTCAAGGCCTCAGCCTTGGGCTCTTTGTCACTTTCCTCGTCTGTCCAGAGGAGCCCATGAGGTTCACCTGTGGGCTCGTGAGGGTGGCACAAGGGCTCGGGTCATGTCCCGAGATGTGGAGAGTCTGTCAGCTCCAGCATGCAGTCCTGGCCAGGATCTTCATCCTCTGCCTTGGGTCCCTGAGTCCTGGAGGGTGTGAAGAGACATAGGAGGTCAGTTATGTGCGCAGGGCAGTGTTGCAGTTTTCCTTTCCATCACCACCTGCTAAGGGAGAGACCCCAAATCCTCTGCCTCCAGCTCTCATCACCACATCCAAACTATAGGATCCCAAACTCGGGTTCATTTTTCCTGCCTCATCCCACTCACCCTGTATCTTTGGATACTTTGCAAAGTCTGCTGCTCCCCAGGGCTGCCAGTCTTCTGGTGTCTTTCGTCCAAAGCCTCCTGCCTCTCTGCCTAGGCTCAGTTGAAGGTCTTACATCCTGCCGACCCTGCTTCTCTACCTCCAGGCTCTTCTGTTTAGGGCAGCATGAAGAATGGTATATTTGTGCCTGCTATTTGAATAACAGCTAATTTTTCTAGAATTTACTAATGTCTCAGTTGTCCCAATCCTCCTGGTGACTGCAGAGGCCCTTTCCCAGTCTTGCTGCAAGGCCCTTCCCTCTATAATCCCCTCTTCTCTGAACTCAGTATCTTCATGTCCTGCTCCATGGGGGCCATGTGCAGGTGCATGCAACAGACGCCCCTGGGGAAGCAGGGTTTTCAGCTCTCCCCTCACTCTGGTTTGCATCAGAGCATTTCCAGGTTAGGGCTACAACTCTGCAACACTGCCACTGCCAGGCTCCTTCTGACTCTACACCCCACCTCTAACCTGGTTTCTTCAGCTCCAAGGTAGCTGGTGTTCCTCCAAATGCAGTGTTCCTGTGTTAAGCAGGAAGCAGGGCAGGCAGAAGTCTGTCTCGTTATTAGGAAAGCATAGCGTTTTTGGAATCCCCTCCCAGTAGACTGCTGCGTACATGTTACTGGCCATGTGACTGTGTCACATGAACACTGTAGCTACAACAGAGCTTGGGAATTATTTAGCCAGGCACCTTGCTGATCCAAAGAAGGAAGAAGATGGAACTGGGGAGAACATAGAAGAGACCACCCAGCTGCCTTGTGGAGAGCCACAGCAGGGGACAGCGACAGCACCTCTGAATATCCCTGGGCTCTGGGTGTGGTCATTCCCTACTTGGAGTAAATGGTCAGGCACTGGTCCTTCAGGAACTGACTCTCAGATCCCTGCAGTGCAGTGTGAATGAGTGGACGGCATTGTGGAGATGGGGCCAGTGCCTAGCTGGGGAGTGGGCAGCCACTGCTCAGTTCTGGAGGTGGGTGCCCAGTGACCAAGTCTGCCTGGTTTTCAAGAAAAACAGAAAACAATTTTTTTAAGGTTTTTATTTATTTGTTTGTTTTGAGATAAGATCTTGCCATGTAGAGCAGGAGGGCCTCCAACTTGAAATCCTCCTGCCTCAGCCTCTTGAATGCTAGGATTAGGGCTTTAAAAAAGCTTTAAAATAAAAACCCCTCTATTTTGAAAAAATGTCATGTTATAGAAGAATTGCAGAAAATGTAAGAGTTGCCATGTGCCCTTCATCTAGCTTCCCATTAATTATAGCATCTTACATAGATGGAATGGTACCAGCCAGGTGTGATCTCTACACGTGGGAGGCTTAGACAGGAGGATGGAGAGTTCGAGGCCAGCCCCAGGCTGTGTAGTAAGACCCTGTCTTAAAAAAAGGAAGGAAGGAAGTAAAGACTGTTTGGAACTTAACACTTTTCCCACCACTGTTGTCTTTTGCTCTAGGGTCCAGTCCAGGAGCACATTGCATTGGCTTATGCTTCTATAGTCCTTTCTTCTCTATGGGACTCTCAGCCAGACAGCTGGAGATTCCCAGGTGCTCTCTTAAATTGTCTCCTCTACTATAATAATTTGGAAATTATGAACTGTACTTGTGACACAGTAGCTATTTGAATTTCCCATATAACTGACTGGATTATAATCCAGAGTTAATCAGCATCTCTAGCCAATTCTGAAAACTGTTAACTGCTGCTCACTTCCTCTGATCTTCTGCACTGTTGTTTGTAAGTTTTTTCTTTTCATTTTATTCGAATTTATATTGGTTTTAGAAAAGGTAATATTCCTATAGTTCCAAATTTAAAAGGTTCAAAAGGTACAGAGAAAAATCTCTCTCTCCTAGTGACCCACTCAGCCCCCTGCATCCCCTCCCAGCCAGGTGGGTATCTTCCAGATACCCCATGTCTTAAGGAGCCTTCCAGAGCTGTTTCACAGATCCCAGCAATGACAGCCGCACTTCATCCTGCACAGTGCTCTCATCACTCATCAGTGTGCCTTAGAGACACCTTGGTACCTGTCCATAGCCAATTTCATTCTTGTCTGTAGCTGCACAGAATCCATGTTTTCCTATCATCATTTATGGAGTAAACCCTGTTACTGAACATTTAGCTCATTTGCCAACCCTTCTAGTTAGACAACACTGACCACCGCCGTGAACGGATAACCTCCTACTAACACTTTCATCGTCTTGCTTCTGTGGAAGTGGAAGTGTAGGATACAAAGTATGTAATTCTTTTTTTTTGAGACAGTCTCACTGTGTAGCCCTGGTGGCCTAGAATTTGCACTCCTCCTGCCTTAGCCTCCGGAGTGCTGCCATTACCGGCCTGTGCTGCATGCCTGGCCTTGTGCACTTGTTTACCTTTCTAGTAAGGGTAGAGAGGGTCTGTTTGTCCACACACTCAGCAGCAGTGGTTCGCACAGTTCTTTCTTGCTTTGGCGATTCTGTTTTGGCCTCACACATCCTTGGCCATTTCCTTACCTCTGATCCTTAACATGTTAGCATGTCTTACTCTGATTATAACAAAAGGTGTCTTTTAATCTGCATTCTTCTCCTTATGGGTAATCTTGAGTATCTTTTCATGTTTAAGAGCTTTAATATCTTTTCATGTATGGGTTGGCAGAATGGCTTAAGTGGTAGAGCGCCTGCCTAGCAAGCATGAAGCCCTGAGTTCAAACCCCAGTACTGCCAAAAATTATATATACATATATATTCCCTTTCTGTCAGCTTGCATTTTCCTATCAGGGACCCATTTTTCTATTGGATTTCTAGTCTTTTTAATTTGTTTGAACTAAAGAAATCAGCCATTGATAAAAGTTGCAAATTTTTTTTTAGCTTTTGTCTCTTTTTTATAATGGTTTTTTACTGTGTAAAAAGTTTATATTTTTATGTAATCAAACTTGTTAATCTTGTACCCATTCTTTTGGGCGGGGGAGGGCTGGAATTTGGGTTAGAACTCAGGGCTTCAAGCTTCCAAAGCCAGTAGTCTACTGCTTGAGCTACAGCTCCAGTCCATTTTCCCTCTGGTTGTTTTGGAGATGGGATCTGGAAAGCTGTTTGCCCAAGCTGACCTTGAACCATGATCCTCTTGATCTCAGTCTCTCAAGTAGCCAGGATACAGGTGTGAGCCACCAGTGTCTGGCGAAAACAGCTTTTTTTTTTTTTTTTTTTCCTTTTGTGGTAGTGAGGGTTGAACTCAGGGCCTTACACTTGGCTAAACAGTTGCTCTTAACACTTGAGTCACACCACCAGCCCTTTTTTGCTTTAGCATTCTTTTTTTCAGATGGAGTCTCTTGTTTTTGCCCAGGCCATTCTAAGACCATGATCTTTCTACTTATGCCTATGTAGCTGGGATTACAGCCACATACCACCATGCCTGACTTACTGGTTGAGATGGGGGTCTCGCTAACTCCTCACCCCCACCACATTTCCCCCTCTCCTGGAAAGACTCCAGGGCAGAGCAACTGACTCTTGCCTGCTGGCTCTGCCACTGAGGGGCTGCTGCAGGTCTGCTGTAAGCAGGAGCCTAGCACAGTCTGTGCTCAAGACAACAGAGGCTTCTGGCTTGAGGGCAGGGTAAGGGGAGGGAGGTGTGATGCACATCAGGATCTCAGGGGGGCTGAGAGTGAGGAAAAGCCCCTCTAGTCATTCTGACAAGTCTGCCAGAGTCTCAGGGAGGCTCAAAAAGCAAGAAGCAGGGAAAGGTGTCAGAGCCAGGTGGGCAAGTGACTTGAAAGAAGGAGTAGAGACCACAGGATAGCTCTGCAGGGACTGAGGAAGGAGTTTCGAAGGGCCAGTGATGGACCTCCCATCTGCCCATTCCCACCACACTCTCCCTCTGTCATTGCTTCCCCCAACCTCCTCATGTCTCCCCTGTGACCAGGCTGACAGGAACTGCCCTGTGAGGTCCATCTGTGCTCAGACCCAGATGATGCCAGAGCTATGACCAGGCCTGCAGGTGTGGCGCCGAGCGGAGATCAGCCATGGAGCAGCCACAGGAGGAGGCCCCTGAGGTCCGGGAAGAGGAGGAGAAAGAGGAAGTGGCACAGGCCGAAGGAGCCCCACAGCTCAATGGAGGACCAGAGCAAGCACTTCCTTCCAGCAGCTACACAGGTGAGGAGGGGCCGGCAGGACAGGGGACACTGTGGGAATCCTGGCCCTCTACAGATAGCACTGGTGGATGCAGTGGTGAAGACTGAAGCCAGACAGCCTGGGTTTGCACTCTGGCCCTGCCACTCACCAGCTGTGAGGCCTTAGGCAGTTGCACCCCATCTTTCTGGAAAACAGACAGGGATGACAGGTAGTGTGGACGTGAAGCTTTTGTGAGAATTGAGAGGGTGTGTAGAGTGCATGTCACTTGTTATCCCATGGCTACATGGGATACCAAGTCTGTATTAACAGTGCACTAGGAAGATGGACTGTACTTGTGATTGTGTGAGCAGTGGAAACTCAACTCAGGTGACCTGCTGCTCATTCCACACATTACCGCTGAGCTTTGTTATGACCAGGTGTAAATGCCAAGCAGTTAGAATGGATAACTGGTAACAGTCACTTTTTTTGCAGCTCTGTCTTACTTGTTGAGTTGCCCTTATTGATATGCCTTTGGCGGCAGTGTTGACACTTTTCTCTGGTGCTCTTGTTCCTATGCTTCATGTGTCCCCCTCAACCCTCGCTGTCCCTGCTGCTGGGCTAAGCCTCTTTCTTCTTAGAGCCACAGGCCAGCACATCTAGCTGCTCCTCACTCACTCATTCAGCAGGACTCAGGGTCCTGAGGGGATGGACTGAGGGAGGAGACACCTAGGCTGGTTTCAAATGATGGGCCCTTGCCCCCCGAGTCTGCAAGGAGCAGGTGGAAAAATGGTGTCAGGGTTAAGGTGAGGCCATGAAGGTAGGGCAGGCTCCTGCCTAGGCCTGCAGCCAAGAGGGACCTCAATCCGTGCTTAGAACCTGCAAAGCAAGGTTCTTCCTCTTCAGGGCACAGGGTGGGGTGGGATAAAAGGAGAGCCACCCATCAGTCCTCTTGTTCCACCTGGACACTGGGTGTGACCAAAGAGGGCATAGTGTGATGTGGGGGGCTAAATAGATGGCACTCCTCACCCTAGAGTAGTCCACACTCTTTATTGGTGGCGGCCAGAATGGCTCTGGAGACTCAGCCTCTTTCAGAAGAGAGGAGTGGCCACCCTGGAGTGAGCATTCCCTCAACGCCATCTGAACCTGAGAGAGGCGAGGAGGGTTGGAAAGCAAAGAGAAGACACTAGGGACCAGTACTGAGCCAGGGGTGTCATGAGGATACCAAGGAAGAAGAGTGACGCTGGCCCACCTTGTCCCCTACCTCTGGACCCAGGTAGATAAAGTGTCCCATCCTGGGGTTTCCTATGTCACACACACTTATCAGGACCTGTGTCACACAGAAAGTAGCAGTGTTCACGTGTAGGCCAAAGTGCAGTGGCTGGAGCAGAGGCAGGTGTGGCAAAAGTATCTCATGTAGCATTGTTGGTAGGATTTGGGGTGAGGGGAATGTCTAGGACAGAACGAGCCTACGTACTCACATGGTGCTGTGTCATATGTGGTGTTCATATCCTGTTTATCAGTAAGTGGATGAAGTGGAGGTGGGAGGACCTCTTATTTAGCAATGTAACAGAAGGGCCATTTCACATAATCACCAAATGGTAAAGCCTTAGTACATAGAAAGTTCTCGCAAATTCTACAACAGGCCACCTAACAGAAAAATCAAACAAGCCAGGCAATTCCTAGTCAGATAAATAGAAATGGTCAGAAAACACAAAATATTTCTATCTGACCAGTGATCAAAGAAGGCATCTTAAGAAGAGGTGTCCTGTCAAGTTATCAGAAGGGACTGTATAGTCACTGCTGGTTAGGGGTAGGGGCAGCGGGATTGCATGAGTGTTCCTTTTGCTCTGCAGTTCCCCTGTAGGTCTGTGTCCTGTGTAATGGCTTGCTCAGTGCACAGAGGTGTCCCCGGCACTGTGGTTACTGCAGCACTGCCCTTAGTAGGGGCAGGGAGGCACCTCTGTGAAGAACTGCTTAGGTACACCTGGCAGAGCCATGGGGGAGTACTCTGTGGTCGTTAAAAAGGGTAAGGCCGGTCTGTGTACACACAAGGAAGCAAGTTCCTGACAAACTGGGAGATCTTACTGCGTAGAACTCCTCAGGTGTCAGAAGGCACTGGGAGAATGCACTCCAAAGGGCTGGTGGGTGAACTCGGTCCTGGATGAGGGACCCGTCATAAGATGCTGCCTACCCCCATGTGTTCTTCTGAATAACCTGTGCTACTTCCACAGTTTAATGGGTTCTTACGCTGCTTTTCTTCACAAGATTAAAATAACTTGTGTAATGTTTTAAAAAGGGAGCTGGGAGGTGAGGGGCCCAGGAGGGCTGAGACCACACATGTCAGGGTTGGGACCCCAGTTTGCTACTGTGGGCTTTGGTCTCCCTGGTGCCTTCATCTCTCCACCTCAGTCCCTTTGCTTCTACAGCCTACATCCTGTCTCAGCACCTGCTGGTTCTCTGCCCTGCCCCCATGACTTTGACCTCAAAGTCCCCTGGGAGCCCATAAGGAACCCTGAGACAGTAGGAAGGCTGTACAACTGCTTCACCTCCTACTGACATAGTTCTGCACTGACCCTGTGCCTCCCGCATCAAGCTCGCCACCTGCCACTGTCCTCCCCAGGAGGTAGGCAGGATAGGGCTGCTACTAGTACTCAGCAGCAAGGACACTGAAGTGCCAGGAACTCACTTGCACACGTCCTCCAGTTGGTAGGGACAGGGCAACAGGAGCCTGTGCTCACACCCGCTTCCGTCCTTGTCCTCTCATGTTGGATGACATGTGTCCCACACACACCTGAGGAAGAAGATAAAGCGTCTTTCCTTCTGGCCTCAGCACCTCCTTGCCTCAGCAAGCACTTGGTGGCTGTCCAGGCAAGACCAGGCACTGTGCCAGAGCTGCCCATTCTGTGATGGACAAGGGCAAGCATCTGCCCTGAGGAGCCCACAGGATGACAGAAGCATGGAGCTGCTGGTTGCTTTGTGCCTCAGCCACAGTCCTGCAGAACTGACCTTGACTACAGGAGCCGAAGGGTGCCTGTTTGCCTGTGGACCAGCAAATCCAACAGAGCCAGCTGGCCCCTCCTGGCTGCCCACACAGCTGTGCAGGCTGTGGAGGCTGCATGTGCAAGAGAACTCTTGGGAGTTAAGATCAATAGTGTCTATTTGCTGAACTTGTACGCAAAGATGGCGAAACTGATACTTCACACTCATTTTTACTCTGAGTCCAAACATTGAGGAAATGGCCCAGTGTCATCTCGGCAGGGACCTTGTCTTATCGTTTATCACAACAACATTACTGCTTGGTATAATGAACACGTGTGTGGGTAGCAGTAGAGTGCCATGGGTAAGATCTCAACTCCAGGAGTTGCGTGGTTCTAGGTTCTAATTCTCATCTGTCATCTTCTTAGTCAGAGTTCTCCAGAGAAAATAGAGCCATCAGAGAAAGAGAGAGAGAGAGTGTGTGTGTGTGTGTGTGTGTGTGTTTTCACACAATCATTAGTGGCCAGTCCAGATTCCATGGGGCAGGCTAGAGGCTCAGGGACATTCGTGTTACAGCTGAAATCTAAAGGCAGTGTAAGCTGGGTGCCAGTGACTCACACCTGTAATCCTTGCTACTCAGGAGGCAGAGATCAGGAGGATTGAGGTTGGAAGCCAGCCCAGACAGTTTGTGAGACCCTATCTCAAACTCATCACAAAAAAGGGCTGGTGGAGTGGCTCTAGGTGTAGGCCCTGAGTTCAAACCCCAGTACTGCAAAAAAAAAAAAAAAAATGCAGTATGACATGGGGTCCCCTTTCTGGAGGGGCAGTGGCCTCAGTCTTTTTTTTTTTTTTTGTCTTCAACTATTAGATGAGGCCCACACACATTATGAAGAGTAATCTTCTTTATTCAAAATCTCCTTATTTAAATGTTAACCACTTCTTTAGAAAAATACCTTCATGGTAAGATCTAGACTAGTGTTTGAACCAAAATATGGGTACTATGGTATAGCTAGGTTTATACACACATAACCGTCACTGCCATTGTCAGATGTAACTTAACCTTCTGAGTCTGTTTCCCCACCTATAAAGTAGGTAAGAAGCCCAACTTAGGGTGATTTTGAGGTTTTTTACACGAAACAAGTAAGTGTGAAGTGCCCAGCAGAGTGCCTGATACACTGTAGGTATGCAATAAAAAGAAGGGACTTTTGGTGCCTTTGCAGCAAGTCAGGTTTAACTTCAAGTCCCAACCCATGTGTGATGGGCAGGATCCCTTAACCTCAGCTAGCCTTAGTTTCCCCATCTGTAACCAGTGGCAATTACTGACTTTCAAGGTGATAATAAAGTGAAAAGAGCATAAGCACACTAGCACTCTTGGCACTTAGTACTCTAGGCCTGACAAATGCTGTCTGATTTCCTGTTCCTCTTGTCCAGGTGTAGGTGGGCCTCTGGGAGGGTAGAGAGGCTGAACAGGGTATGGCTTGAGGTCATTCAGAAGCCTCAGGAAGAAACAGAACCCTTACTTTTGGAAAATCCACCCCCCAAAACTATCACCATTTCAGTATTCCCAGTACACACATTGCAGGGCAAAGCCTTCCCCACAAGATGCATGCACTCCTGACAGCCAGCCCCCATCTCTCCTTTTTCTCTCAGCAGGTATATCAGCTACTTGTGGGCTCTTCCACTAAACAGGCCTCCTGCCTGTGCTGAAGTTATTCCACCCATTCACTGCTGAGTGAACCCTCACCACCCTCACTACCTGGGCCTGTTTCTTCCTGCCACTGAGTGCTAATTCCTAACTGTGATTCCCTAATCTCCTCACAGTCTAGAGCTCTGGGGGCCGTCAGGTAGCCAGTAGGGTGTGGGCATCTTGGCTTCCGGGATTCCTGGAGGTTTTGCCACCCTGCGCCAGGACCCACCTCAGGACAGGTGAGGAAAGTAGGAGGGTGGAATCTATCCTAGTCTTCTGATCTCCTGCTTAGAAAGCACCTGCTTGCAGGGCACGTGGCCTGGAGACTGTGGGCTTGTGGCTTATGGTGAGCACATCCCACAGCTGGTGGGTGAGCTTGCACAGCATGCCCACATTCCAGAAGCCTTCTCTGTGTAACCCCCAAGACTCCCCGAGACACTGCTCCCCTTCATTTTACAGGGGAGACCAAGGCCCACTGGGCCACAGTACCACTAGCTAGCACATGGTAGAGCTGGGATTTGAACTTGGGCCTCATGGCTTCTGAGTGGTGATCTCACCCACCCTGCCTGCTATTTCTTTTTTTTTCTTTTTCATTTTTCTTTTATTATTCATATGTGTATACAAGGCTTGGTTTATTTCTCCCCCCTGCCCCCACCCCCTCCCTTACCACCCACTCCACCCCCTCCCGCTCCCCCCCTCAATACCCAGCAGAAACTATTTTGCCCTTATCTCTAATTTTGTTGTAGAGAGAGTATAAGCAATAATAGGAAGGAACAAGGGTTTTTGCTGGTTGAGATAAGGATAGCTATACAGGGCATTGACTCACATTGATTTCCTGTGCATGGGTGTTACCTTCTAGGTTAATTCTTTTTGGTCTAACCTTTTCTCTAGTTCCTGGTCCCCTTTTCTTATTGGCCTCAGTTGCTTTAAGGTATCTGCTTTAGTTTCTCTGCATTAAGGGCAACAAATCCTGCCTGCTATTTCTAAGAACTTGGAGGTTGTCCAGAGTCGTGGCCTTTGAGACTGGGTGTGGGGGTGGGGAGTCACCTGCCCTGGCAGTCACATGCAGTGATGGCTCCTAAGATCCTGGACCACTTAACCTACCCCTTACCTGCTGTTTCCACTCTCTACTTTGTGTTTTGTTTTCTAGTCTCTTCCTTTCCTTTTCCTTTTCCTTTCCTTCTTTCCCCTTCCCCTTTCTTTCTCTCCCTCATGCACACTAGGGAAGCATTCTAACCCTAAGCTACCCCCCAGCCCCTCTTCACTCTTTCTTATCTCTGCTATTTAAGGGCAGAGTCTGGTCCTGCCGTGCACATGACAGGGGCTCATCAAATATCTGTTGATGAATGGAAAAGGTGGCATTACCACATGTAGGGCCAATGGCAGCCCAATGACCAGACACCTGCCCATCCTCCAGTGCCACAGGGGAGAGGAAGGCACTGCTGAGAGATGTGACAAATCTGCAGAGAATGGTCACTGTGGCTGAGATTCAGTGGTAAAGATGGGTAAAGCAGCACTGACACAAACAGTGCACACACCCTGCCCAGATAAAAGGAGGAAGTACAGGAGCCCTTCTGCCCCACCCTGCCCCACCCCGCAGGTCTCCACAAAGGGCTGTTCTATGTTATTTACTGTCTCCCAATGCCAGTTATAGTGAGCTTTACTGTCCCTGTTCAAAGACTTCCCCCAGAAGTGGCAGGTCCTGCCCATCCCCACTAGCCAGCTGAACTGAGGCAGAACCCCCAGACAGCTTGAGGACTGCCGATTCCCCCAGGAGCTGTGGAACCTGCCATGAATCCAGCATGTACCCAGGTCTTGGTGCTGGGCCACAGTGTGCCCTGACCTGTGGCCTTTACGCCTAGCCGGCAGCACCCAACAATGAGCAGGCGTGCAGAGACTATAGGTGGTGTCAGATGCTGAGAACTCCAAAGTGGCTTTCCCCTTCAGAGCACCTTCCCAAGACAGCAAGGGGCTACTCTCCCTTTTGAGGGCTGAGGGCATGGTTATATTCTTTGGAATGACTGCAGTTGGGGGCTAGGATACTGGGTCAGGAACTTGTGTCACCTTCAAACCTCACCAGCTAGGAGGGGAGCAGCTGCTTGAACTCCACTCCTAGGACCCCAGGGGGAGGAGGGGACATGGGGGGAGAGACGAGGCGTGGGTGGGTGGGAATGAGGGCCACTTGGTGTGTGTTAGGAGAGAGGGCCACAGGCCTGGAAAGTGCGTGTAGGGCTGGTCTCTGTGACTTGGGTCTAGCCAAATGGCTGGTTCCTGGTTTGTGGATTTGGTATCTGACTTTGAGGAGGTCACTCAGCCATCCCAGGAGACAGACTAGAAAGCAGTGTGGCAGGGGCAAGACAAGAGTAGCACTGGGAGGGAGTCAGGAGACCCAGGCCCAGCACAGGTCCCAAGGAGAGGCTCAGAGACTCAGTTTCTACTGAATCATGTGAGAGTGCATCTGTTCTCAGCACTCCTTGCTGGCACTCCCAGCACTATAGTTCAAACACTTAAGAGAAAAACAGAACAGTCAATGTGACGAGACCTGTGCTCTTTCTAATTTGGGCAGTTTCAAGGGAGGGAGTGTGAGGTTCTAGAGAGAGTTACTACAGTGTCCCTGGAGTTCAGGTGAGAGTAGAGCTTCAGGGGTTGGGGAAGCTCCCAGAGCCAGCCGTTCTGCAGAGGTTGGCGCCTCTGTAGTATCCACCAAATGCCCTCCACACCACACGCTGGGGCCACTCTAAACCAGGAGAGCTGCTTCCTAAGGACCAGCTGAAGATTTTGTCTGCTTTCTTCCTCTCACGCCTCCTCCCAAAGCCCTGCCCTCAGCCCTTCCCTGCCAGAGGTGGGTCAGAGCAGGAATGTTGGAGCTGCCAGGTACTTGACATCTGCCTGCCATGCTTCAGCTCTGGGAGGAAAGCTTTTGAGGCTTTTCCTATCTATAACTAGGTTCCAGGTGAAGAAATGCCCTCAGAGAGGCTCTCCATGGGACCATACAGCTCTTAGGTGGTGGAGCCCAGGCTGGGGGATCCTCTGCTGCCCAGTCTCAACTTAAGGACCAACTGGCAGAGTGTGCAGTGGCCCCTCTGTCATGTGTTCACAGACCTCTCCCGGAGCTCCTCCCCACCCTCACTGCTGGACCAGTTGCAGATGGGCTGTGATGGGGCCTCGGGCGGCAGCCTCAACATGGAGTGCCGGGTGTGCGGGGACAAGGCTTCAGGCTTTCACTATGGTGTCCATGCCTGTGAGGGGTGCAAGGTATGGCTGGGGGCTAGCAGGGTTGTGGGGGGGGCTATAAGTTGACTCACTACAAGGGTTTTTCCTACCTCAAGGATGAGACTCTGAAAATACCCCCTGCAGAGTCCCGTGGTCCCGTCCCAGCTTGCCTGTAGGAAAGGAGGGATTTCCCTGCCAGGCCAGTCTTGCTGGGCACATGTCTGCTGCCTAGACCACTCACTTGAGCTATGTGGGTGGCCAGCGCCCCCTGGGGCTGGAGCTCCAGAAGGCAGGCAAGCAGGTAGGACAGAAGGAGCCTTGGGAGGGTCTTCCTGTTAGAGGTCAGGATCTCTGGTGTCTTAAGACTGAGAGGGGCTCTGACAAAAAAAGGAAACATTACATTTCCTTTTCCAGTAGCAATTCTGGGTTTTTCCTTCTAACTGCACACCCATCAAAACCTCACAAGTTTTTTATTAAGACATCACCTGCAAAATACACAGAACCATATACATTTATGAATGAATCAAAGTAGCTGTGATACAGCTTTGTTCCCAAACTCATGAAGAAGCTTTAAGACTTCATTCAGCATGTAAAATAAAATATGGTGTATAATTTAAATTAATTTCAAAAGTGTCAATATCTTTTCTTTTCCCTCCAGAAGATCTCCCCCATTACTCCCAAATTTCAGCAGTTTCTACCTCCCTCAGCACAGCCCAAGGGTGGAGCAAGTCCCTCAGCCCACCTCATCCCTCTGGGCATCACCTCACCTCTTCTTGCTCCCCAGGGCTTCTTTCGCCGCACTATCCGCATGAAGCTGGAATACGAGAAATGCGAGCGAAGCTGCAAGATCCAGAAGAAGAACCGCAACAAGTGCCAGTACTGCCGCTTCCAGAAGTGCCTGGCACTGGGCATGTCACACAACGGTGAGAGCTGGCTCTGATGGCACAGGGCTGCTTGCTCTGTTGCAGGGAGCACCCAGGGGAGCCAGAAGGGGGTGCGTGTAGAGCAGTGCCTGGTGCAGACAAGCATTGTGGACATCAGCTGGTGACTTTGCCACTCTGAACCTGGTCCTTCTCCTCAAAACCTGAAGCTCTCTGCTGTGGCTCAGTGGGGAGTTGTGAATAGACCCCAGCCCAAACAGTGTTGGGAACACTGCTCCCAGAGCCTCAAGCCTGACAGAGCATGAAAAGCCACTGCCAAGACCAGGGTTCCTTTAGCCCTCCTGTCTAGGAGATCAGGAGCCAGTAAGTGACCATGTGTCAGTTATTGGGAGCCAGGTGGGAATTTCTTGGAGGCCAGGCAGGAGTCCTAGGACTGAGCTGTCTCTGACAGCTGCAGATCCTGCTCCATTACTAGTGCCGGTGGTCATCAGTGCTTACAGTGTGGGTGAATGCTCGTAATTATTTGTCCAACCACCCAGTAAGTTTTAAGGAGCATCAGCTCCACCTTTCCTGATAACAAAAGAAAGGTGAAGTAGCCTGTCCAAGTCCCACAGCTGGCAGTGTGCCCTGGTGTGCAAGCCTTCATCACTAGAGCTGTCTTTCAGCTCTGCCTCCCCACCCTCTCCCATCCAGGGAAGCCCAGTCACTCAGAAATTAGATTCTATGTGCTGGCCATTGTGAAGGAGACCTAAGATCCCTGACCTTGACCTTAGGACTGCAGGGGCTGCCCCAGCATTACCACCTTGTTGACTCTGGAGCATTTGAGGGCCCTAGGTTCAGAAGGGATGACTCCTTTTTTTACCTGTGTACCTGTAGAGGAACAGGGAGGTTAGAAGTGCTGGCCCCTGCCCGGCTTCTCAGTGACTGTCCCTAACCCCTGTGCAGCCATCCGCTTTGGCCGGATGCCAGAGGCTGAGAAGAGGAAGCTGGTGGCAGGGCTGACCGCCAGCGAGGGGCACCAGCAAAACCCACAATTGGCCGACCTAAAGGCCTTCTCCAAGCACATCTACAATGCCTACCTGAAAAACTTCAATATGACCAAAAAGAAGGCCCGCAGCATCCTCACTGGCAAGTCCAGCCACACAGCGGTGAGTGTCACTTCCCGACCTAGGAGTGTCCCGAGCTTTGGGCCTGCTGCCACCTTCTTGACTCTTAAGAGAACCAGGTCTTCTCTCCCCTGACTCTGGTACAGGCAGGGGGTGTGGGGAACACATGGGTAGGGGTTCCCCCAAGGCCAGGCCTCTGACCAGACCTGGTTTTCAGCCCTTTGTGATCCACGACATCGAGACGTTGTGGCAGGCAGAGAAGGGCCTGGTGTGGAAGCAGCTGGTGAACGGCCTGCCACCGCCCTACAAGGAGATCAGCGTGCACGTCTTCTACCGCTGCCAGTGCACCACGGTGGAGACAGTGCGGGAGCTCACCGAGTTCGCCAAGAACATCCCCAGCTTCAGCAACCTCTTCCTCAACGACCAGGTGACCCTTCTCAAGTACGGTGTGCATGAGGCCATCTTTGCTATGCTGGCCTCCATCGTCAACAAAGACGGGCTGCTGGTGGCCAATGGCAGTGGCTTTGTCACCCATGAGTTCCTGCGCAGCCTCCGAAAGCCATTCATTGACATCATTGAGCCCAAGTTTGAGTTTGCTGTCAAGTTCAATGCCCTGGAACTTGACGACAGTGACCTGGCTCTCTTCATTGCAGCCATCATTCTGTGCGGAGGTGAGTGAGGGTGAGGCGGTAGGGCCAGCCCCATACAACCAGGCCTCCTGGGGGGTGGCACCCTCACTGCACGGCACCAAGTCTGAGCTCAGACAGTGTGGGAACATGTCCTTGTGATGCTGGCAGTGAAACACACATGACACTAGCTGTCCATGGAAGGGTGGGGTTAAAAAAGACTGAAAAGAAATACATCCTTGGGCTGGGGGCATGGTTCAAGTGATAGAGCAAGTGCAAGGCCATGAGTTCAAACTCTAGTACTGCCAAAAAAGAAAACACTAAAAGAAATATACCCTCGTGTTAATAGGGGTTAGTGGTGGGTAATGAAGAAATTTTGTCTGCATTTTTCAGTTTCCAACACAATCAATACAGGAATAAACCTGCTCACCAACAGTGGCATGGAGCTTACTTTGGGTCAGGCACTGTCCTAATTCTTCTCATAGAGTGTAACTCATTTGATCCTCTCAGCAACCCTGCAGTGCAGGAGGGGTTTTTTATTATCCTCTTTTACAGAGGAGGAAATTGAAGCCCACAGAGGCCAAGGGATGCCCAAAGCCTCATGGATAGTCTGTCATAAAGACGGAATTTGAATGCAGGCCCGAGTCTTTCCCCATGATGCACACTACCCTACACACATCAGGAGAAAACTAAAGGCAAGAATCAGGAGATGGAGGGAGACCAGGAGCGGGGACTAGAATACCCAGTGGAACTGTCAATGGAGAACAGGGCTCAGATTTGTCCTGGGCAGGGATGATTGCTGTCCAAGTCGCTCACTGCATGGATAGGGGACGTCTCTGTCCTGAGTCTCCATTCCTGCCCTGTATCCCTGCAGACCGGCCAGGCCTCGTGAATGTGCCACAGGTGGAGGCCATCCAGGACACCATCCTTCGTGCCCTTGAGTTCCACCTGCAGGCTAACCACCCCGATAGCCAGTACCTCTTCCCCAAGCTGCTGCAGAAGATGGCTGATCTGCGGCAGCTGGTCACTGAGCACGCCCAGATGATGCAGTGGTTAAAGAAAACTGAGACTGAGACCTTGCTGCACCCCCTGCTCCAGGAAATCTACAAGGACATGTACTAAGGCTGCCAGGCCTCTTGCAGGCTCCAGAGGGGCCCAGCCACAGGACTGTTCTGCAGGCCAACCGACGAGCACTCAGCATAGCCCATGGGTCACACTCTTGCACTCCCAGACACACGTGGCCTGGCTCCTATGTTCCCTTCCTTCCACCCCATTGCTACCCAGGCTCGTTCTCGCTTATCTGTGTTGTCTTCCCTCTTTCTCAGTCTCATCTTCCCAGTGCCTCCTGGTTTTCTGTTGCCTTGCCTTCTGTGTGTCTTCCACCTCTCTGCCCCTCTCCCCGTCCCTATGTCTGTCCCCTTTCCCCTCTGTGAGACAGTCAATACTGTCTCACCAGCAGCCTAGAACAGGATCTTTGCCTTTGTCTGGCCTTTCCCCAGGAGCAGACTTCACCCTCCTTGCTCTGACCTGTGGGCCTAGGGCCTTGCTTCTGTCTTCTGTCTTCACATGAAAGGCTTGGGCCATCCAAAGAAACACTACACTCTCTGGGCCTGCTTCCTGGGTCCAAAGAAACACTATATTCTCTGAGCCTGGTTTCCTGGGGAGCTTTGCCTGGATGGACTGCAACAGTGGCCTGTGGTCACAGGGTCCCTGCTATGGAGGACAGTGGGCAGGGGGCCTCGGTGGAGGCCACACACCTCCCTCAGACTCTCCTCCGCCCAAGGTCAGTCCAACAGCCAACCCCACTCCAGCAAGCCCAGCCTTATACACCTGACTTCCTCCATTCTTCAAGCCAGTCTTCTAGGCTGGCCAGGAGGGAGGCAAGTTTCCCACCAGGTGGGGCCCATACCCCTCACTAAAGAGGAAGGAAATAGAAGTTGGTTTGAGGGAACAGCACCCATAATTCTGACCCCTGGACTCAGGTCTGAGTCTCAGGGTTAGAGGTCAGGGAGAGTGTGGGGCAGGCCCTCCATCAGCACTCCATGTCCCCCTCCCAGTAGCAGTGCCATTTCCCGCCAGGAGGTGCTTCACCACCCTCACCCCAGTGGCTAACCCCTGCACCTGCCCCGCCCTCCCAAGGCCAGGAGTGGATGGAGCTGTGCCTGCCCCCAGCCTGGTGATTTCTCAGTGGGCAGGGGTGTTCTGCCAGTCAGACAGCACCAGCCTGGTACCTTCACTTTACTGTTTTCTTCCCAGTTGATCACCTGGAATTCCCCCTGCACAGCCTGTGGGGACCTTGACCCTGGCCCCTTCCCTCCTGCCCAGCAACCAGGTGGAGGTGGAAGGTGTGTTCACCTCAGAGGAGGGGCTGACCAGCCTGGAGCCTCATGAAGAGCAGGAGGCTCAGAGCAGCCCTTGCCTATAGGGTCTCAAAGCCAGGTGGAGTCTGGTGCTGGTGGCTCACACCTGTAATCCTAGCTACTCAGGAGGCAGAGATCAAGAGGATCATGGTTCAAAGCCAGCCTGGACAAATAGTTTCACGAGACCCTATCTTGAAAAACCCTTCACAAAAATAGGGCTGGTGGAGTGGCTCAAGGTGAAGGCCCTGAGTTCAAGCCCCAGTACTGCAAAAAAAAAAAAAAAAACCAGCTTCTTGGGTCCTGTTTGGTCCTCCTTCCCAAGAGGCCTTTCTGTCTGACCACTGCTCAGGGAGGAGATGGCCTCGAGAGAGGACAAGCTTGGCATCTGCGGAGTGGCCTGTTCCCCAGGGTCATTCCCTACTAGCAAGGCCTTCCCGCCCCTCCCACCCCAGCTGACCAGATCTTTGGGCTAGGGTTGCACCCTTTGGGCCACGTCTGAGAAGGGAGAGCTGTGTTCCTGCCCCACCCCCATGCACCCTGTCCCACCCCCACCCAGGTCTGGTGCTGAGGGTGTGACTCTTCTCAGTGTCTGGACAATCTCCAAAATTGAAATGTATATTTTTGCTAGGAACCCCAGCTTCCTGTGTTTTTAATATAAATAGTGTACACAGACTGACAGAACTTTAAATAAATGGAAAATAAGTATTTAAGTGTTGATTTGAAGCTGACTCAGTTCTTCTGCTGTTCTGGGGGTTGAGGGCAAAGAAGGCTTTGGGATGCTGACTGGAAGGTTCCGTTCTGGCTGTGGGTGCTGGTGGTCCCTTCCCCCTGCCCCCGCCAACCTCTTGTCCACCACTGTCTGAGCAAGGGGTGTGGAGGACAAGAAGATGCACGTGTCTCTGTAGAGAGGGCTTGGGTGTGAGGGGAGGGGATGCATACATTCCGAAGAGATCACATGGCGGAGTAGGGGATCACAGAAGGCCTGTGGAGGAGGCAGTGAGTCCTGGGCCTTGAGCGGTATGTGGGACTTGAAAAATCCAAGCTGTTGGCCACTGCTCTAAGAGACCAGGGCATCCCTCTCCTCAGCTGACAGCAGTTTCCTCCTTCACTTCCAGGGGAACCACAGTGCAAGGCAAGGGCAGGGGTATGTACTTGTCGTTTTTCTGTCACTGTAACAAAATGCATGAGATAGCTCACAAAGAGATGAGGCATAAGCTGGTGCAGTGGCACACATCTGTAGTCCTAACTGTTCCTCCTTAAGCAGCTATTAGGTGCTGTGCATCGTACACACATCACCTCCCAACCTCACACAACCCTACGAGGTAAGTGTCACCACCTGCCACTTCCCAGGTGAGAAAGCACAAGGAGAGACGGGGCATGCCAGGAAGAGGCAGAGTCAGTTTTCCGTCCCCGGCCTCATGGTGATGAGGCTGCTTTTCACTCATGACTAAAACCTTGGGAAAAAGCTAGTCAGCAGGTGCACCCAACCACAGCTCCACACTTGGGGCTTGAGCAGCTCTGAGGTGGGGGACCTCATTTGGCCTCCTGAGTTTTGAATCCCCCTCAGACAGCACAGGACTCTTGAGTCTCCCACATGCTTAGTCTTGGTCACCCTGCCTTCCCAGACCCTTATTGTCCTCTAGTACTTGCCCACAGATCCCCGAAGGCCTCATACCCTATCCACATTTCTGGAGCCAGGGCAGGAGCCACAAGCCCACCTCCCCTGGGGCCTAGGGCTTGGTGAGGGGGTGGGCCTGGCCTTGGGCCCCTCCCTCCTTGGCCTCACCCAGGAGGGTAGGATAAAGGCCTGCAGCCCTGCCTGGTTCTCACCAAGGGCTGCAACTGGGATGGAACCTGCAGGACCTGACAGCAGCCACTATTCCCAGAAGCCATGCAGGTAAGAGTTTGGGTCTCAGGGAAAGTGGGGAGAAAATCTTTGGGGTTCAGTCTGGCCACAGAAAGCCTAGTCTATAAAAATTTGAGGTACACCTGGGGAGGAGGAGTTTCCTTGTCCCTTGCCCCAAGACCCAAAGGGCCTAGAGATCATCTCCTCCTCCATCATAGTCCAGAGATGAGCCCAGAGGGGGAGAGGAACAGAACAAGGCTGCCCATCTGATTCAGAGCTAGTTTGGGATCTAACCATTTAGGGTTGGGATTTCCCATGCACCTTTCTTTTCCACCCAACAAAGGCTTCTCTGCCCAGAAACACCAAACCACCCCCATGAGGGTGGGATCTTGTCTCCTGGCCCCCATTGTATCCCCAGCTCTTAGTCTGGTGCCAGATACTCATAAATCTTAGCATGGAAGCACTTTGGATAGGTTATTACACTATTAGAGAGTTAACCCTTTGGATATGTCAACTCTGAATCAACGCACACCAGTTCAGTAGGCATTCTATCAAATATTCATACCTTAGCACGACTTCATTTGCCAATAGCTGGAAGCCATCAGTTCTCCCAGAACTGAAGTTTGGGTAGAGGAAGGGTAATTGTGGAGCTTGGTGGCTTAGTGTGAAGTGGCTTTCCTAGGCTGAGAAGAAAGGCAGCCAAGGAGGAAAAGAGGCTAATTAATTAATTAATTAATTAAAAGAATATTTACTAAAGGAGGTTTTTCAGTTGTTCCTTTCTGAGCAGAGTCAGGAAGATGGCAGCCCAGACTAAGTTTGGGATCTCAATAATAAAATCCACTGGGCTCCAGTGGATCTTGCCTGTAATCCTAGCTACTCAGGAGGCAGTGATCAGGAGCATCACAGTTCAAAGCCAGACCCAGGCAAATAGTTTTTGAGACCCTACTTCGAAAAAACCTTTCACAATAAAAGGGCTGGTGGAGTGGCTCAGGGTGTAGGGCCTGAGTTCAAGCCCCAGTACCACCCAAAAAAAAAGGCAGCTTCTTTGGCAGATTCCGACACCCCCCCCCCCCCCCCCCCCCCCCCCCCCCCCGCCACCAAGTCCTACTGTGTCATTGCCCTGCACCCATCCTGCCTCCCAGGCTCAATCACAGGGATTTTTCTGTTTCAGCCCCTCTTGGTCACCCCCTACCTCCCTGGGGCCTGGATCACCTGTGACCTCTGGCTACCCTGTCCCCTACCTCCTTTGGCTTCAGAAGTTGGCTTGAGAAATTCCCCATATCTGTAGCCCTTCCTTGGCAAGCCAGTATTGGTCAACTAGAGAGTTAGGAGTTGAGTGGGGACACCTGGGCTGCTGCCTGTGCGCTTTCTCTGATCTCAGACCACCTGCTTTCCCTTTTGAAAACAGGAAAAATGACTCCTGCCTTTTAAGGCTTGGGTTTGAAGACCAAATGATCTGATTTGACATGTCCCCAAACAAAATTTGTTAATTGAGGACTGGAGATTTGGCTTAAGCTGTATAGTGCTTGCTTTGCAAGCACAAAGTCCTGAATTCAAATCCCAGTCCCACCAAAAAAATACATTGCTTACTGATATATTAAGAGGTATTTGAAACTGGGTGCTGGTAGCTTACACCTGTAATCCTAGGTACTTGGGCAGCTGAGATCAGGAGGATCTTGGTTTGAGGCCAGCTCAAGAAAATAGTTCTCGAGACCCCATCTCCAAAATAACCACAGCAAAAGGGACTGAAGGTGTGGCTTAAGCAGTAGAGTGTCTGCTTTGTGAGCTCCTAGCCCTGAATTCAAACCTCAGTCCCGCCAAAAAACCAGATGTTTGAGTGTTCCATGGTGTTCCATGTCTGCAATCCTAGCACTCTGGAGGCTGAGGCAGGAGGATCAGAGTTCAAGGTCATCCTGGACAACATAGGGAGACTATCTCCAGAAAAACAAACAGATAAAGATGTTTGGGGCTGGGCATGTGCCTCCAAGGTAGAGCATCTGCCTAGCAAGTGCCAGTTCCTGAGTCCAAACCCCAGTACCACACACAAAAACAGGTGTTTGGATAGAGGGTCTAAGCAAACAATAAAATGATAAATTGATTTAAGCAGGTTCCTTTACAACCCTTATCAGAGCCTCTACTATGTTCATTTATGATGAACACTGTACAGCATGCCGCTAAGAAAACAGAGGAGCTGGGGATGTAGCTCAGTGGTTAAGTATTTGCCTAGCATGCACAAGGCCCTGGGTTCGATTCCCAGTACTAACAAAAAAAAGAGAAAAAACAAGAGAAGGAAGAGTTTCTGAAGCTGGTGTCATCACAAGGCCCTTCCCCCTTTTTCAGTGGGCCACATATCTGTGGACATGCCTGAGAGCTCTGACCCTAAACTTCTGGGCTTGTGAAGGAGACAGCTGGTGGCCTCTCCAGGCAGTGCTAGAGGCTGGCCTCATTGTGACCTCTAGGCCACAACAAAAAAGACAAAGCTTTGCTAGCATGTCCCCATCGGTGGACCAGGAGTCACTCATCCCTGCCAGAGGGCCTCACCTCCACCGACCCCTGCCCTCTACCACCCACTGATCCTGTCCCTGCTTCAACCAGCCTCCTCCCATCTACACAACAGGCTGGGCACCTTCCAACTATGTAGTCCCATGCTGTCCTACAACTTAGGATCCTCCTGCATGAGCTCTCCTGTGCTGGGGTTATAGGTGTGCATTACCATACCTGGATCTTTCCAACATTTTTACCTAAGAACCTCAAAGAAACTTGAAAAGCCATGTACCACCTACCTACAGCCTCCTTAGTAGCTGGGATTGCATGTGTGCTATCACACCTGGCTTATTGATTAAGATGGGATCTCAATGACTTTTTGCCTGGGCTGGTCTCAAACCTCAATCCTCCCGGTCTTTGTTTCCCAAGTAGTTGGGATTATAGGTGTGTACAACCATGCCCAGCTAAGACATTGCTTTGACTAAACTGTTGCACTGGGCTCCAATTAAACATCATAATGAAATCACTCATACTAAAGTTCTACCTCACCAAACCAAAACTAAGTGTTCTTTCTTTTGTTGATGTTGTTGTTATGTAATGATACAATAATTATGATAAAGATTATTGCTAGCACTTCCTCAAAGTGCTTCCCTGTTCACCCTGTCTAAGTAGGTCCCCACCTACTTATTTCTGTCAAGGCCCTCGTCACCATCTGCATCTCTCTGGTTATCTGTGCCCTGTTGCAGGGTCAGAGTCTGGACTGGGGGAGGCAAGTGAGGTGTCATATAGGGTTGGAGCCAAAGTTTAATATTTTCTTCATCATGGATTTTTGA